CAGGAAGGTACATGAGGAAAGAAGGCACTTGAGGAAAGTTGATTGGCTCACTCAGACCTCTTTGGGGGGGAAGCGGGGGATAATTCTATTTACCTTATAAAACAAAAATGGCTTAATCAAATGTTCTAGCCAAATCCTATCTCACCAAGTCAAAAAAAAAAATCACCCTGGACTTGCATTTTAAAAATAAATTTCTGGGCTCCAACTTCTAGGGAGCTGAGTTTGCTAGTCTGGCTCACCACCACTACCACCACTACCAACACCCCCACAAATGTAGTGTTTCATTCCAGTGTATTCCATGTTGCGAGATCCTTGTCTATAGTCACCACTTCCGTTGTTTAAAAAGTGTATTGGTAATCAATAATGAGTATTCCAGAACAATTCATCATGCTCACAAGGAACCAGTACATAGACCAACATGCAGTTGACTGACTTGATGGCACTTAAAAATAACAACAAAAATGATTAACTATTATATATCTGTAATAGTTCAGAAGGAACAGATAAGCTATTGGAAAGCTTAAATGATTTTAAGAAAACATTTTCAAAATGTATTAGGAAAAACAAGAATTCAGTGAGCATTTATATAACTATTTTGTATTATATCTTTAGAACACAACTTTAGAACAGAACAAAAGAGATACTGAATGGTTTAAAATGGTTTAAAATTATGAAAGGTGTGCAGCAAGATCGTATTCTCTCACCATACTTATTCAATCTGCATGCTGAATAAATAATCTGAGAAACTGGATATATGAAGAACATGTCATCAGGATTGGAGGAAGATTCATTAACCACCTGGGATATGCAGATGATACAACTTTGCTTGTTGAAAGTAAAGAGGACTTAAAATACTTACTGATGATGATCAACAACTATAGCCTTCATTAAAGATTACAACTCAACATAAAGAAAACAAAAATCCTCACAGCTGGATTAATAAATAACATAATGATAAACGGAGAAAAGATTGAAGATGACAAAGACTTCATTTTGCTTGGATCCACAATCAACACTCAAAAAAGCAGCAGTTAAAAAATCAAAGGATGTATTGCATTAAGCAAATCTGCTGCACAAGACATCTTTAAAGCGTTCAAGAGCAAAGATGTCAGTTTGAATACTAAGGTGTGCTTGACCCAAGACATGGTATTTTCAATAGCCTCATATGCATGTGAAAGTTGGACAACGAATATGGAAAACCTTTAAAATAATTGATGCATTTGAATTTTAGTGTTGGTGGAACAATACTAAATTAAAGTACCGTGGTGGTGGTCGTGGTTATGTTCTGTGGAGTCAGTTCCGACCCATAGCGACCCTGTACAGGGTTTCTGAGGCTGTAATCTTTACAGGAGCAGAAAGCCTCATCTTTCTCCCATGGAACAGCTGGTAGTTTTGAACTGCTGACCTTAAGGTTCGTAGCCTGATTTGTAACCACTACATTACCAGAGCTCCTTAAAGTACCATAGACTGCCAGAATGACAAACAAATCTGTCTTGTAAGAAGTACAACCAGAATGCTCCTTAGAAGCCAGGATGGCAACACTGAGTCTTTGATCCAGTCCCTGGACAATGACATCATGCTTAATAAAGTGGCATCAATGAAAAAGAGAAAACCTCCCAACAAGATGTAACAAGACATAGTGGCTACTTAGGTTGCTAGAACCAATGCAATGGCACCTAATAACAACAACAACCGGTATATACTACATTTTAAGATATACCGCTGTTAGAATTCATAGTTTGACCTGGATGATTTATTATTATATGCCTCTAATTTGGATGATTTCTTCCAGGTTAAATATAGAAACGTGTTGATATAGGCCTACAGCGGTATACTGATAAATAGACTCTTCGAAAAAACAAACAAATTCAATTTAGTGCACTAGCCAATTTCCGTGATGCAAATACTCCTTTCATAGCCAATTTCAAACTACCAACGACTTACCATCTGGCTTACAAAATCCTTCAAAGTTTAACACTTGGCTCTCATGAGCTGTTAAGGACTAGCTACAGTACTTTACAGTATATATTTTATTTAATTGCTTTAAGTTATTTGTGAAAGAACTATACTAATGATAAACCAGAGCCCTGGTGTGGCGCTGTGGGTTAATGCGCTGGGCTGCAAAATCGGGTTTGAGCTGCAAGGTCGGTGGTTCAAAGCTTACCAGCCGCTCCTCTGAAACCCTATACATAGTCACTATGGGTTGGAACTGACTCGATGGCACTTAACAACAACAACAACAATGATAAACTATTATATATCTATAATAGTTCAGAAGGAACAGATAAGCAATTGGATAGCTTGAATGATTTTAAGAAAACATTTAAAAAATGTATTAGAAAAAACAAAAATTCAGTGAGCATTTATATAACAATTTTGTATTATATCCATAACCCCCCGCATGGTCATGAAGAATGATACGTTCGCTGAGTTCTTTAGGAGTTGTGAATTGGTTTCCTATGGATGATGGCAAGCCAAAAACCGGGACTCCAGGATTGGGAGCAATGCCAAATGCTCAGCTTCAACCTCCAACCATGGTCTTCAGCCCCCAAACTGTTGAAATGTCCTGGTCATTAATTCTTTAGCACTCAACCATAAAATCAACTCCTCCAACTTCTTCTCCTAGCACAAGATTGAGACAACGACGTCTCTAGGAAACCCATATCAGATGTGTTTTATGTGTCCACGTGTGGGAAATAGCCTAAGTAGAAGTTAATCGTACAGTTCTTTCAATATTTTGACCAGTCATATTTTAAGAAAATGGGACCTGAAGTCTGTATAGCCAGCTGAAGCAAATTTACAGTTCTGCTTTTAAGAACCAAACTCCCTTGGGCACCTGCTTCCTAAAGGCAAAACCAGAAAGGAAATGAACTCTTGCTTAAAGACAACCCACCTCATTTTATGGGTTATCAATTTTCTAGCTGGCATGCAGTTCCTCCAGCTAGCATTTCTTTCTCTTTTTTCTTTCTTTTTTTCCCTCCTTCCTCACCCAAGAGATAAGTGAGTAACAAAAATGTGAAGTCTACATTCTAGCAAACAGAGTCTCAGTAAGTAAAGTCAGGGGAGTAGCAAAGATCTATGATGCAGGTCCACCACATAGATGGCTTTGCCAATATATGCATTAAAATCTTAGCCTGAATTACATTTTACATTACAGGATTACTGAATCTTTGGGGTAGTTCTGTCAGGTGAATAGTCAACAACAATGTAAAAGCACTTGATTTCCTTTTAACTGCTCCACTGACCCTGGAACTGAGCTCATCAACCTCTCAACAATGCGAAGGGTTTAAATAGGCTATTTTCCTCGCTATTGATAACGTCAGCGTTCTCCAGGGGATGGACTACGAGATAGGGGTTTGTGATGGTTAATATCAGCTGTCAACTTGACTGGGCCAGGAGTCCTCAATATTAGGTAATTATCCTCCGTTTTGTGATCTGATGTAAGGGGAGTTTCCTTTGCCAGTGGTCTGTTCTAGTAAAGCTCTTTTTCTCAATTCTGTGTTTAACTCATCATCATCTGGTCTGTAGTTCTTGGAACATAAGTCAACAGCCTGTTGTCTGACCTGCTGATTTTGGGTTCATCAGTTCCTGCAACCACATGAGTCAGGAGAAACCTGTAGGCTGACACTTGACCCCATGCATTTGGAACTTGCCAGCCTCCTCTACAACTAACTATGTGAGCCATTGCCTTGAAATCTCTATCTATCTATCTGTCTATCTGTCTGTCTATCTGTCTATCTGTCTATCTGTCTATCTATATGTTGTTATTGTTGTTAAGTGCTGTTGAGTTGATTCCGACAGTGACCCTGTATAGGGTTTTCAAGAAGCAGCTGATGAGCTTGAACCACTGACCTTGCAGTTCAAATGACTTTGCAGTCAGATGCATTAGCCCACAGTGTCAAAGGCCTTCAAAAAGTTTGTGGAAAATGGAATTAAAAAGATATAACATTTTTTCACAAATTTTTTGAAGTTGTCTGATCTATATGCATGTGTGTGTGTGTTTATATATGTATGTATGTGTGGGTGCGTTCCCTGGTTTTGCTCCCCTAGAGAACCCACATTAAGACAAGATCAAAATCTAATAGTAGATATTCTTAGGCTGCTTATGCTTAGAAAACACATTGAATGGGTAGTAACTTTTTCTTAATAACTAAGAACTAAGGCAACTCATACGCAAGTAAAAAGATGGATAAATCTGCTTTCATAGATGATGAAGTCAGAATCAAATACTTAACATTTTGTGCTAGTTTCATCATAATCTCTATCTTTCTCCAAGCTTCATTTAGTTGTAAAGGGGAAGAATTTTCAGAAGAAATCTGAATATTCAATTACATGTTTCAAAATCAGCCATTTACACATTCACTTGGGATAAGTGCCAGAGTTAACATCAAAGATATGTGAAGGACCTCTTGTCCAAATGGAACATTAAGCTTCTCAAACAGGAGAATACAGCTCTTGAAACTGCCCTTATTTCAGTAAATGAAACCGGCCCTTTAACAGATGGGCTGTGTACTTTGTACTATTCAGCTTGCCGAGAGCCTAATATAAGACTCTGGCTTTTTAAAATGAAGGACATGGACTCCTCAAATTACACTACCCATATGGAATTAGCAGAATAACATTAAGGAGACATACAACAGCTTGACAAAACTTAGGAACAGACTATGGGAATCTGATCTAAATATCAATATCAAAATGACTTTTGAAAAACAAAAACAAAAACAAACTCATCGTTCAAACCACACAGAAAACATGCACTGGTATGGCGTTAGGGGCAACATGCTAAGGAATTATAAATACTGACAGAATGAAAAACAAAATTAATTTCTTTTAAAAATTCCTAAGAAAGGCAGGTTCTTTTGATAGCAGGTACCTTTCCTTTTATGTCAGTTGACCTCCATCAATCTTAAAATAAGATTTCTACAGTTGACTGTTGCCATAATTAAATTAACCCAGATCACAGGCACAAATAAAATAAGGAGCTCAGCATTTCTGCTCACCTTTCGCGTTCTTCCTTCATTCTTTCCAACTCCTCTTCTCTTAGAGCACTATGCTTTAGAGTACCTTTCTGCTCCTCCTTTCCATCCTTCTCTTCTTTCTTCTTTCTAAATCTAGTGAGACATGAAGAAGATGGTTGTAACTATAACCATTATTCCTCTACGAGGTGAACTCATTACAATATAACTCTTTATTCTAAGCAAATAGGATGTGAGGGTGGTCTGGCTGTACATCTGTTACTCCACGGATCACAAGGTTGATTCGGCTGATCTGGCTGGCTAGTGGGGTGTCTCCTTTCTCCCTCACTGTGCCTTGTGTTGTTGAAGAGGATGACCATGCCTGACACAGGAGGACTGTCCTTTGGTGAAGGGGATGCTAGTAACTGGACTCCCCTGCTAGAACCTCCAAACAAGCTTCAAAGTTCATTTATTCTAAGGAAATACAAGACCATGTTGTATAAACTGGATGCAAAATAAATCATGAAGACATAAAATTAATATTGTTACTAAATCCTCCTTCCTTTTTTTCCTGCTTTCCTTCCACTTAGGTGTTTATTTTGTATCAAACATAATATTCCGTGATTGTAGTACTAGTTATTTCACTTGTCAGCATGTCCTACGTATTTGAGATAAAAATAAAGGTGAGATTAAATTGTTAATTAATTATATGAGACCTTCTTAAATCACAAGTATTTTTCTTCATGCATATTTTCTGTGAAAGTAATCTGCAATGGTTTCTGAGGCTGTTTGGAGCAGAAAGTCTCATCTTTCTCCTGTGGAGCAGCTGGCAGGCTCAAACCACTAAAACCACTACCCTTACAGTTCTTAGTCTGGTGCTTATCTTATGGAGCCACCACGCTCCTTGCATGTATATGTATGTCATATATATGTGTTTGCAGGGAGTGTGGTGGCTCTGTGGGATAAGCACTGAACTGTGAACTACCAAAAAGTTAGCAGTTCAAACTCACCAACTGCTCTGCAGAGCTGAGGCTTCATGTTCCTTCAAAGATTTACAGCCTCAGAAATCCTATGCAGGTCACTACGAGTTAGAACTGACTCAATGGCAAAATAACTATCATTTAGCAAAATAGAATTACTTTCATTCAAATATCATTGAATATAATAGGATTTTTATAAAATTTCAAAATGTGGGAAGGGTAGAAATGATGGTTTAGGAGACTAATGAAGGCAAAAATGTTGCCCAAAAGTCTGAAAGTATTAGTCTTCTATTTCTCTATTTTCCCTATTTTTTTCTAAGTTTGGAGGATAAATTGAGAAAATTCTGAAATGAAAATAATCTTGTTTTTGAAGGATAAAACTAACTCAACCTCCACTACACCTTGGACTTTATTACCACAGCCAATAAACTATTCTTTTTCCTGGTGGCTAAATATTTTAACTATAATGTAGCTCAAGATTGTTTTGACTCTATGAAGATGCTTGAACTTTCTTCATCCTTAAGTCGCAGATGAGCAATTGACATCTGTTTTGCAGTCTGATCTTGATCTTGTTCTTAGTGATGATATCAAGCTTCTCCACTGTCTCTTTCCACAGATGTGGTTTTTTGATTGCTGTTTATTTCATCTAGTGAGGTCACATATACAGGCACTATTTATATTATTGAAAAGGTATTTGCCATGAATAAGTAATTAGTCTTCCAAAACTCTATCATGTGATCACCACTGTGATTCTTATCACCAACGGCATAATTTCCAGTTGTAAATCTCTCCTCTGTGTTTCAAATTTTCCTATTCCAATTTTGATTTCATGTTCGATCATTTGCAATCAGACTGCGAGGAAGGTGGTAAAAATTTACATTCCCTCATCATTGGTATTAGTGGTAGGTGCACAAACTGGACTAATATTTGCATTAATTTATCTCTCTTGTAGGTGAAAAGATATCCTATCATGGAAAGCATTGTACTTCAGGACAGATACGGAAATGTTCTTTTTAATGCTGAATACAATACCATTCTTCTTCAATTTGCCACTTCTGGCATATTAATACTAATACTATTCCATTTCAGCTAACTAATGCCTAGAATATCAATTTTTATGCATTCCATATCATTTTTGATGATTTCGACTTTTCCTAGATTCATACTTCACACATTCCATGTCCTGATTATTACTAGATTTTGCAGCTGTCTTTCTTATTTTGAGTTGTGCCACATCCACAAATGAAGCTCATGAAACCTTTATTCCATCCACGTCATTAAAGTAGACTCTTCTTTGAGGAGACAACTTTTCCTCAGCTGTACTTTGAGTAACTACCAAACTGAGAAGCTCATCTCCTGGCATTATATCAGACAGCATTTTACAGCTACACATAAGATTTTCAGTGGCTAATTTTTAGAAGTATGCTGCCTCTCCCCCTTTTTTTTAAAAGTCTGAAAGCTACACTGAAATCTGCCCACCATGGGTGACCCAGCTGGTATTTAAAATCCTAGTAGCGTAGCTTCCAGCATCGCAGCAACACTTAAGTAACCACAGCACAAAAATTTGATGAGTGGTGACAAATATATATATTCATATTCAAATGTTTGATAAATGTTTTGGTTTAAAATTCATTATCACTTATTGAAGTGAAAGGAAAAGCGGTGAAGTTTATTTCATCAGAAGGAAAAGGTAGTTAGAAGTTATCTTATTTTGCAATGTTTAGGTGAGTTCAAGAACTGGATGATAAAACAGTGATCTTCAAAAAGATTTGTACATGTGCTGAAGACCTGGGGGGCACAGGGGAAGGATTGCATGGAGGAGATTGTAACCATGGCAATGAGACGATATACGATAGAATGAATGTAAAACTAATGTTCCTCCATGTAAACTATCACATAATTCACAATTAAAAAAAAAAAAAAAAACTACCAAAAAAAAAAAAAAAAAAAGATTTGTACATTGTTCAGACGAGGAACCTGAAATCCAGAGAAGTTATTTGCATTTAATATATTAAGACACTGAATTATTTCTTCAGTTGTGTAATCAGACAGCATAATTATCAGTAATGATAGTGGTGGTGGTGTTGGGGGGTAAGGATAATACTTGGAGAGAATTAAAAGAAAAAAGTCAATTTGTGAATTTATTCTCTTTTGAATAATGATTTCTTCGGGGGACATTTTAAAGCCACTCTTAGATACATGGAGATACAGAAAAGTTCAAAGTCATTAATTCATCTCCTAATTATGAGCTCTTTTTGTGAGAAAAGTTATAAAGACCCTGGATTGCTGAAATTACTGCTTTGCATTCTAAAGGTTTCATATATCCAGTGCATTCCAGGCCCCATTATCTATTGCGTCAACTATTTGAGAGTCGACTATTCTGGGCTAGCTGCCTTAAGGAAATTGCTGTAGGTCAGCCTTGTTTTCTATAAAAGATGTTTTCCTGAAAAATTCTGTACAAACATATGGTTTGAATCACTAGAATCTTATTTTACATGTACCTGGGAATCCTGTTTAAAGAATCTTATGATGGACCTTTTCGTAAAGTGGAAAAATCACCTTTCAACATACCCTTTATGTAAATTTAGATTTTCATGAATTATTAGTTTGTTTAAAACACCTGTCCCTGTTCATTTCTGCAGAGGTTACATGAAACAGCTTCATGGAAAACCCTTCTCTCCCTCACCCCTCTCTGTCTCTCTTTCTTTCCCTCCTTTCTCTAGCTCTATTTTCCTGCCATAACCTTCCCCCTTTTTCCTTCTTTTTTGTCTTTCTTGTATTTGTTTTATGAACATTTATTTGGTATATATAATGACATTTATTGTCATAGGCTTTTGATAAAAGCTGATATTTTGTTGTAGAACAAAAGTAGACACAACCCCAATGGAATTTATGCTCAACTACAGGAGACACGCAGACACCACACTGGTTTATAGGGGCATACCTCAGAGATAATGCATGTTTGGCCCCAGACCACCACCATAAAGCAAAAGCACTATAAAGTGAGTCACACAATTTTTTTGTTTTCCCAGTGCATATTAAAAGTTATGTTTACACTACCCTATAGTCTATTAAGTATGCAATAATATGAAAAAGTTTAATATATTGGGAGAATTTCCAAAATGTGAAACAGGGATACAAAATGAACATGTACTATTGGAAAAATGGGGCCAATTGACATGTTTAACACAGGGTTATCACAAACCTTCAATTTGTATCAAAGGCAGTCTCTGCAAAGTATAATACAGTGAAGCACAATAAACTGAGGCATACCCATCTATGAAATTCCATGATATAGAAAGTGCTGTGAATGGTACTAAACAAGACAACCATAAAGAATTCAGTTCTTGTGAAGAAATGGCATGCAAGCCCAGAAGGTAAGAGTGAGAGGACTTCAGGCAAGCAAAAATAAAAACAAAAATCCACAACCACTTCCATAGAGTCAATTAGGACCCATAGTGATCCTGCATAGCATTTCCAAGACTGTAAATCTTTAAGGGACCAGGCAGCCTTATCTTTCTTCCCATGGAACATCTGGTGGGTCAAAACCACAGCTCTTATCTTACATCACCACCAAGATGTCAGACAAGCAAAGAGTACGAGAAAAACCTTATGCCTGTGAGAAACCAAACATACAAAGGATGTGAGGAGGGAATAGATCTGGTGCATCCCCAAAAGTAAAAAGACCAACAAAACTAAAGTATAAAGACTAGAGGAGACTGAGAGGAATGTGGATAAAAATGAAGACAAGTATCATAGTGTGTAAGTCTGAAGGAAACTTGAGTTTCAGTTTGAGAGCTATGGTAGGTAATTTCTTAATAATTCAAGGAAGAGGGAAAATGAGCAAATAAATCCAAATTTAAAGATTTTGTAGAGGGGAAAATAGACAAATTACCAAGTCTTGTTAAGCAAGCTGGGTAATAATGTGATGTACACTTAAAACACAATCCTGGTTGCTGAAGAAAAAACCAGTAAACAAAATTAATGACGTAAGTTGTTAAGTGCTATAAAGTCTGTTCCAACTTATAGCGGCCCTGTATAGGCTTTCAGAGGAGCAGCTGGTGGGTTTGAACTGCTGAGGTAAAACCATTAAAACTGATTTGGGCTACTGTAATAATGTTGATCAAAAATGATGGTTGCTTGGATAAGGAAAGTAGCCACTGAGAAGAGAAGACG